CTCTGTGGTGGGGATGCAAGTGAACAAGGATGTGACATCATATGAGACCATGGTCTCGTCCTGCTCAAGCTGCAGTTGTTGGACTTTCCTCGTGAAGTCCTGGGAGTTTATTATGTGGTGCTGTGTGTTTCCCACCAAAGGAGCCAGGATGGTGGCCACGTGCTTGGCTATGTTGTAAGTCACGGAGTTGATGCTGCTGACAATGGGTCTGAGTGGGGCTCCTCTCTTGTGTATTTTGGGTAGGCCATAAATGCAAGGGATGGCCTCCCCGGGGTATAGTCGCCGGTCAATAACTCCCTCCTCCGCAGGCCCACGCTAGCGCACTGCAACTCCTGGCAGAACAGATAACTAGTGTGGAGCTAGAACATCCTGACTCTCCACTCCTTGTTCTACAGACCTGTTGCCCTGACATCTGTAGTCATGAAGTGTGAGTGATGAAGACCTTTGAAAGGCTGGTGTTGGTCCACCTGAAGGACATTGTAGACCCCCTGCTGGACCCCCTCCAGTTGGCCTACCGGGCAAACAGGCCAGGGGACGATGCAGTTAACATGGCACTGCAATACATCCTGCAACACCTCGACTCCCCAAGGACCTATGCATGTCTCTTTGTGGACTTCAGCTCGGCGTTCATCATTCTGGACATCCTCCACTCCAAATTGACCCAGCTCACTGTGCCTGCCCCAACCTGTCAGTGGATTACTAGCTTTTTAACAGACAGGAAGCAGCAGGTGAGGCTGGGGAAAGCCACATACAGCACCCGGACAATAAGCACAGCACCCCTCAGGGACGTGTGCTCTACCCTCTGCTGTTTTCACACTACACCAATGACTGCATCTTGAAGGACTCCTCTGTCAAGCTCCTAAAGTTTCCAGATGATACAATGGTCATTGGTTTCATCCAAGGCAGCGATGAGTTAGCCTACAGACGGGAGGTTGAGCAGCTGGTCCTGTGGTGTAGCTGCAACAACCTGGAGCTGAACACGCTCAAAACAGTGGAGATGACAGTGGACTTCAGGAGAACACCTTTTCTTTTCAGAGTCTTTTCTCTGCACTTCTATCTCTCTGGTTTGGCTCGGCAACCAAACAGGACAGAAACAGACTCCAGCGCACAGTCGGAACTACAGAGAAAGTCAGTGGTGCCAGCCTGCCCTCCTCGGAGGACCTGTACACCTCACATGTCAAAAGGAGGGCAGAGAGGATTTCTATGGACCCCTCACACACTGGACACAAACTCGTTGAACTCCTCCCTTCTGGATGGTGCTAAAGGACACTGTGCGCCAAGACAACCAGGCACAAGGACAGTTCCTTCCCCTGGGTTATTACACTGATGAACAGCTAGTCTGATGCGCTTTTAAGTTTTGCTTTTTTTAACTTGTATATATTTTGTATTTATTTAGTTTGTTTTTATGTTGTGCACATCGGGGGCCATTGGGCTGGAGTCAGATTCCTTGTGTTTTTGAAATAGTTGGCAATAAAGTTAATGCTTATGGCCAGACATTATCCTTCAGGATTTTTTGGTAGAGAGCAAAATTTATATTTCCATCAATCACAGCAAGTCGTCCAGGTGCTGAAGCAGCAAAGCAGCCCCAGACCATCACACTACCACCACCATATTTGACTGTTGGTATGTTCTTTTTCTGAAATGCTGTTACTTTTATGCCAGATGTAATGGGACGCACACCTTCCAAACAGTTCAACTTTTGTCTTGTCAATCCACAGAATATTTTCCCAAATGTCTTGGGGATCATCAAGATGTTTTTTTGGCAAAAGTGAGGTGAGCCTTTATGTTCTTTTTGGTCAGCAGTGGTTTTTGCCTTGGAACTCTGCCATTTTTGCCCAGTCTCTTTCTTATGGTTGAGTCATGAACACTGATCTTAAATGAGGCAAGTGAGGCCTGCGGTTTTTTTTAGATGTTGTTGTTGTGGGTTCTTTTGTGACCTCTTGGATGAGTCGTCTCTGCACTGAGAGTAATTTTTGTAGGACAGCCACTCCTAGGAAGGTTCACCACTGTTCCATATTTTCTCCATTTGTGGATAATAACTCTCACCATCTCCCAAAGCTTTAGAAATGGCTTTGTAACCCTTTCCAGACTGATAGATGTCAATTACTTTGTTTCTTGTGTTCCTGAATTTCCTTGGATTGCAGCATGATGTCTTGCTTTTTGAGATCTTTTGGCCTACTTCACTTTGTCAGACAGGTTCTATTTAAGTGATTTCTTGATTCAACAGGTCTAGCAGTGATCAGGCCTGGGTGTGGCTAGTGAAATTAAACTCAGCTTCCCAAAAAATGTGATTAACCACAGTAAATTCATGATTTAACAAGGCAATTACTTTTTCACATAGGGTCATGTAGGTTCGGAGAGCTTTTTTTCCTTAATAAATAAAATCATCACTTCAAAACTACATTTTGTATTTACTTGGGTTATCTTTGTCTGTGTAAATTTGTTTGATGATCTGAAACATTTAAGTGTTTATGCAAAAAAATAAGAAACCAGGAAGGGGGCAAATACTTTTTCACAGCACTGTAGGTAAGTGATTTATAAATGGGAACATACTGTATGTGAGGATTATGCCTGTTAAGCTAAAGTAAATTAGCATAGGAAGATAGTCTTAGTAAAAGTGTTTGATACATGTAGTAGGCTTGAGGCCTACTTCCTGGTGTTTACATGAGCAAGCTAACATGAAGGCATAGTAGAAGTTTGACTGGTTTGTTGGAATGAATACTAACATGGGGTGGTTTCTGATGAAGTGTAAAAGGAAGCAGAAGTCTGGCTAGTTATCTGGTGAGCTATTTGAAATATTTGGTGAGTTGTTTAAATGTTTGGTGGCTAGAATAGCAGTTGAAATGTTTGCTAGTGCTAGTGATTGCTTGGTATCAGTTGGCCTGAGTAGATGAAGGGTTGTGTTGGGTGTGTGGGTACAGGCAAAGAGGGGGTGGTTCTGGGATGCTGGTACACACTGTTGCGCCTTATCGTTGTCGTGGACCGAACTCAATGAAACACCAGTTAGTGAGATGGTGCCCACCTGATGACCCTGTAGAGTTGCCTTCTGTCCTACACCTTGTATTGGTGTTGGTGATAATATAGTTACAGACTCCCTGGAATTGTTAATATTCTTATTTTGTTAGACAGTCTTGGTAGAACAGTGTCAGTGGTTGGACAACTGAGCGAACCTGGCTCTCAGAGGTGACTGCTGTTACAAGCCACCTGGACCAGCCACTGCTTAACCTGAGCAAATACAATGTCAAGTCACATATCTGCTCTTTGTTCGGGTGAGGATAGGGCTCAGGGATGTTTTGTGTTATAAGTGTAGGTTAGGTCTGGAAAAAGGGGCGAAAAAATGAGTAAACATTTAAATTGTATACTGAGCTTCCATATGAATGCTGCCCCATTCTTTGGCACATTTAATTATGTATTATTGGCTGACTCTTCTGAGTATGCACCAGGAAAAGACTGATTTTTTTGTTTTTACACAAATCACACAGAGAACTTTTTCTCACCATAATGTTCCTTTTTGTCATTTTTTTCTTTTTTTAGTTTTAGAAGATGTTCAAGATGAAAATGAGTGGCTACCATGACTGACACCCCAGTGTGCTGAACAGAGCAAGCAGTCCTGGCCTGGCAACATACGAATGGCCCAGGGAAGCCACCAGATTGACATTCAGGTTTTGCATGACCTGCGCCAGAAGTTCCCAGAAGTCCCAGAGGGCGTTGTCTCCCAGTGTATTCTGCAGGTAAACAGGTTGAAAACCTCCAACCACAGCAAAACTGGTGTCGTATTTTCAAATGTTCTTATTTTACCATGAGATGTCCACCTAAATGGAACAAAGTTTTCTTTACTATGTTTTCTTTTAAGAGCTGTTCACGAAACTGCTAAGGTAACTGCAGAGTTTTTTAAGGTTCTGAGAGAGCTCCTAATCTAGGAGAAAGGGCAGGGTTGACCCCGTCTCTATAGATGACCTCATGTTTCATGAGTGAAGTTTCAAAGGTGTGAAAAAACACAGCCCTCTCCATTCATCTCTATGGGGGATTGCATTCACCACAACTGGCACCTGCACCACAAGGGGCTGCGGCAAAATGATGCAACCTCGTTTGGAAAAAGATTTGGACCCGGTTCAACTTTTGTCACACTGGACAGTGACAGTGTTTTTTATCTATTAGTGCTGATGCACTGGTGGTAGAAATTGGTGCTAAGGTACAGTAGGCTTTGTTAGCAGAATGGCTAACCAAAGCACAATGGAAACTCAGGGGCTGGAAAAATGAATGAAGCCAGTCACATGAACTCATCCCACTGACGTACATGCCTACAACCCTTGCATTAAAACACAGGGAGTTATTTTTACCTAATCCTTAACTCTAAATTGATTGAGTTCCACTGTGTGTGCAGATACTATACAGTTATGCCATTCAAGAAAACCTTTTCTCTGGGTCATGGAATAAATTAAAAATTACTGTTCCTCAGATATACAGTATACTTGTGACTGATGGGGGCAAACTGTATACAGCTCTTCAGCACTATGTCTTTGTGTTGCAGTGTTGTTGTAGCTGAGCAGATCTTTATGTCCAGACCAGACTATGGTTCAGTCCTGCTGTGGCCTGTACAGTGTTAGAGAAAGTGAAAATATTATTATTTATTACATTTTATTATTAGGAGAGGGAGAGGATGGGAGTTCTCTGTACTACCTTGAACTTCTTAGAACTACTTTAATGCTAAACTGCTTAGTGAGTTCCACATAGACCCAGAATTTAATAGGCTTAGAGTTAACACTGACACACCCTTTCTCCTAACACAGCCAGCATTAGGATGTTTTGTGAATATGGCCCCAGATGTCTGCATAGTAGGTACAGTACAGAAATGTCAGACATGTTTACAGTATGTAAAGACAGGTCTTTCTTACATAATTTAGTTACAATATGAAGTTATTTTTCAGCTGTGAAATATCCTGCTCACTAAATAAGCTTTGTCAAAATGCTTGCATATCCAAATTTATGGAATCATTATCAACATGTTTGTGTTAGAAAAATAAAATATCAGCAAATGTATTATTAGATTTTTAAATTCTTAAATCTGGACATGATCAGTCTCAAAAATTCAGTATTGCCTGCATTATTATTATAGCCAGTAAATGAGTCCAAAAATATTAGGCTGGATGACTTGCAACAAATACACAGTCATGAGAGAGAAGTGATAAGAAAGATGTGAGGGGAACAATAAATTCAATGTAACCCAGCAGTAATTAAGCAGTGTTTTCTTTCATGTGAACCTGTTTTATTTTACCATCCTTTCCTCCATGTCTTACAGTCTTACTGGCTGCTGCAACAAATTAACCAGGGTAATGCCATACAAATAGCTGGTTTATTCTGTGTTTAAACAGTTGTATATCAGTTAAGCAAACCCATGTGTGTATTATTGCAAGCTAGTTATGAATGATGATAGATTTGAAGGTATTGTATACTAGGGTATGTTTAAACACAGATATGATTATTAGAACTGTTGTCTTTTGTTTTCTTTTGTCTGAAGCATTAATATTGCATAATGCATTTATTTCCCATCTCTCTTTCCTTCAGAACAACAACAATTTAGACGCCTGTTGTGAATACTTATCCCAGGTCAGTCCAGGCTACCTGTACAGTGAAGAAGGAAACCTGACCTTTCCTGACGACCCCACCTTCACCAGGCTTCATAATCACATGACCCAGCTGAATCTGGGCCTGCAATCTCAGAATGTGCATGTGGCCCCGGTGGCAGCCGGACTCTGGCCCACAGCCTGAGTGACGGGCCCCTCCAGACACGTCAGGCCCCAAACAGTGACTTCTTCCAGCAGGAGCCCCAGTCAGCCCCAGTGCAGGTGCCCTCCGGCCTCAGTGTATTTGGTGTGATGGAGCCCCCACGTAAGCCGCAGCCTCCCCAGCACCTTGGACTCTACCCTCTGGGCATCAAAGGAACGAATATGGGTGCCCAGCAGACGCCGCGCTTCAACCCCATTACCGTGACGCTAGCCCCCAATATCCAGACAGGCCGCAACACTCCCACTTCCTTGCACATACATGGTGGGCCGCAGCCAGGCCTAAACAGTCCACAAGGTAACTCCATCTACATCAGGCCCTATGTTAGCCAGTCAGGTACAACGCGGCAGAACCAGCAGCAGGGAAGCAGGGCCCAGTACAGCCCTACTTCCCAGCCCCAGCAGCAGATCTACCAGATCTCACATCCCTCTTCCCTCTCCAGCCCCTGGTCTGGCTCTCAGCATGCCTCTTCCTCACATACCTCACAGCACCAGACCCAGGGCCACCAGACCTCTCATGTCTACATGCCAATCAGTTCCCCCACAAATTCCCAGGCACCCTCCTTTCTTCCCACTGGAAGCCAGGCCTCTTCCTCTGGTGTCTCCTCATGCTCTTCTTCCTCTTCTTCCTCCTCTTCTGTCATGCCCACCTCCCTGTCTGCCATCAGCCAATACAACATCCAGAACATCTCGACTGGCCCACGGAAGAATCAGATAGAGATCAAACTTGAATCTCCCCAGAGGAGCAACTCCACAACCACAACAGCTGTGCTGCGGACAAGTAGTGGGCCACGTTCTTCCACCACTTCCTCCTCGTGCCCTTCGTCTTCCTCTTCTTCTGCCGGGGTGGCTACTGTCCCCACCACCCCTCTGTCAATCGGAGGCCCAGGTCTGAGCCGCAGCCAGCCCACTGTTTACATCTCTGCCAGCCCACCTACTGCTGCTAACACTCCCTCTGAGGACGCTGTCGTGGCCCCAGCCAGCTCCCGTTCCCAGCCCAAGTTTTACATTTCTGCCAATGCCTCCAGCGATGACAGTGGGGGTAGGAACCCTCCCACAGTCTATATCTCAGCCAACCCTCCCTTGCAGGGGCCTTCGGGGAACAGGAACATGGGGGGTCAAGTGAGCATGGGCCCTGCCTATATCCACCACCATCCACCTAAGTCCCGTGCATCTGTAGGAGGGGGAGGCACAGCTTCTTCTCCTCGAGTGGTGGTTACTCAGCCTAACACCAAATACACTTTTAAAATCACAGTGTCCCCCAATAAGCCCCCAGCCGTGTCCCCTGGAGTTGTGTCTCCTACCTTTGAGCCCAACAACCTCCTCACCCTACCATCAGACCACCACTTTGTGGAGCCAGACCCCCTTCATCTCTCAGACCCGCTGTCGCCACACAGGGAGAGGGCGAGTGAGCCTCGCAGATTCAGCATGGGCTCTGATGACGCCGCGTACACACAAGGTACAGTAGTAGCAGATGCTGATAGTAGTGATGATAGCAATTCAATATTTATTCCTCAGTAAAAACAAGTACTTTGATGGAAGACTAAACATTAATAAATAAATTCCCCAGAAAGATTAGTATTAAGCATTTAGATTAATATTTTATAGATTTTTATAAATCAAATAAGAAGCTTTATTTTCTTGTCATTGTGACACGTACAATGAAATTTTGTTTGGAGCCAAGGGCCCTGGGCCACTGCGTGCATATGCACCGCCATCACGGGCAACTGGGGGGGTTCAGTGTCTTGCCCAAGGACACTTTGACATGTGGACTGCAGGCAGCGAGATTTGAACCTTCAACTCTCCGGTTGGGAGATGACTGCCCTACCCACCGCACCACTGTCAATACAACGTTCCTATCTTCTTTAATTAGGTTTCCACAGTTTGACATTTCAAAGTGGTGGTGGCGGCCAACATCTGAAGCTGCTTTTACAGGAAAATGACAAACGGCCACAGCTCTGTCCAAACAGACAACGGTCCCCAGAATTTGTCTTTGCTTTGACCCTGTTTAGACTAGGTATTAAAATGTGTCTTCAGTGATCTGAGCACAAGTGGACAGCCGAGACACATCAGCGTTACAACTGTCAATATACGTACGTCTCCAAGATGCCCAGCTGACCGCTTAATGTTCAGATTTTGCTTCTACTGCAACACTTAAATATCGAATGGCCATAGGTACAATTATTACTTCAGTTTGTTGCCAGATTAGCACCAGTAGTCTCCATAACCACAATATGGATGTGTTAGGAAAGCTGTCATAATACATTGATTTATTTAGGACATTTCTCTGCATCTTTGCTTTTTTGAGCATTGGTGTACTCTCACCAAACAAACCACCACATCCTGCATCAGTGATGTATTTTCCTCAAATGACCTTGTTGGGGATGCATCATGACACATTACTGTTTACATTACAGAAGATATATGGTCAAATGTGCCCCAGACCACCTCGGCAAGTGGTTTCAGTAAATGGATCTCAATCTGTCTTGGTGGTCGTTTACACTTGTATTTTGCACTGTCCACTTGTGATCTGATCGCCGAGGACACATTTTAAAATTAAGTCTAAACAGGGTCTTTGACTCTACCATCAAGCAGTTCTCTGATGTTGGGTCAGAACTGTTTGCTTCACTGTTAATTGGTTGTTTAGCAAATGTCAAGTGGCTAAAGAGTGCACTTTTCCAGAAGCCATCTTGTGCACAGTGATTAGCCAGAAAGGACAGATTTAGTAGTGAATAGTAGGATACAGTTTTTTGCTACCAGCTGTCACCCTAAATAATCTTTTTCCACTACATTCTGCCAAGAAAGTGATTTTACTCTGAAGTATACTGCATGATTTTAAAGGTTTCTTTCCATAACACTAGCTGTAATGTATTTCTTCTGCCAGACTGTGTATACTTGCTGTCACTAATGTTCTTGCAGTGTTTTGACATGGCTTTGCATGTCCACCTCTGTTATCTGTGATGACGGTAGTGTGAGTTGTCTTCACTAAATGCTGTGTTTGCTCTATTAGCTCCTGAGAATGGTAGATTCTGTAGTGTGAGTCAAACATGTCAGGGCACTTTGCTGTTTCCTTTTTTGGGCTTTTGACTGTATCCTGTGTGAGTCACCAGCTGTGGCTCCTGCAGTGTGGTGACTACTACCAAGAGGGGTATCACATTGGGCATGCTGCTGACCCTCATGAGTCCAAATTCCCCTTCATTTATCTGGTTTAGCTTGGAAAACTGTAATGCAACCACATGGTTGTGCTTGGCTGAGTCACATTCAGAGCTATACTTAAATAACACATCATATTTCTTAATTAAACTTTGTTTTAACCATTATCGGTCAGCCTTTTTTCTTTAGCTTTAGGACTGCAAGACTTTAATGAAATAACCTTGTTGAAGATGCAGTTCTGATTAAGTGAAGGCCTGAATCACACTAGGATGAATGAAATGGCACCTTACACCTGGTGCCAAGAGACGCTTTGATTCTGCAAACATCTGTTTTTCTGTTATTGTGGATTTAGAGGGTTAGAAACTTAACCTGAGCTAACAGTATCTTGTGAGCTAGGCTTGCAAAATTATGAAATGCAAGTTTGTGAAACAGAATCCATTTAACCATATGAGTTAAACAGACTCTTGAATAGTAATGTGACTGACTCAGACTCCTGCATCACAACACAACTTTTCAAACTAGCTGATGGAGAAACAAAATGAAATGTTATTGTGTAACTGCATGACCTATAGTGGCTTCATAAAGTATTCAGACCCCTTCATATTTTGCACAGTTTACTATGTTTGATTTCATTTTAAATGGATAAAATTGACATTTTTGCCCCTCAGTCTACACTCAATGGTACACAGTGACAAAGTGAAAACATTTTTAGAATATTTTGCATATTTATTAAAAATCAACAATGAGAAACTCTTTAAAAAAGACTTAAGCACTCTGACCTTCAATTCAGTACTTTGTGTAAGCCCCAATTACAGTTTCCAGTCTTCTAGGTCTCAACAGTCTTTGCATATCTGCATTTGTGCTGTTTATCTCAGTCTTCCTGGCACATCCTTTCAACCTGTCAAGCTGGATGGGAAGCATCTGTGAACTGTCCAAGTAGACTGTCATGTGTGACAACTGTGACGTTGCACTCGTTCTTAGGAGTGGGATTTTTCCTTTCTTCATAAGTATCTTTGAGGTCCTACTCTGAGCTAGGGGGTTTTAGTCCTAAGGTAGCTTTCAGCACAATTCCTAGGAGGGATCCTGAGATGCTTGGTAATTACAGGCCCTGATTCTATATTATTATCCCCATTGTAAAAAAAAAAAAAAAAAAAAAGATGACGATGACTTTTATTGACAGTTATGTGTAGTTAATATGCAAACATTTATTTTTGGTAAACAGTGATATGTTTTATGGGGTTTTCCTTTCAAGGGGGCACTGGAGGAAGTTAACTTTTAATTGATTTTATTAGGCTGTGTTGCATGCTTATGGCTGATTTGGCTGTTTCATCGGTGATTTATTCTGCAGTGATAAGGTATGGTCGCAATAAATTTTCGGATTGATCCAGTTGTCAGCATGTGGCAGACCTGTGTGCCTGTTGTGATTTACCATGCCTATCGAGTGCCATGGTGTGGCTGTCCCTCGGACCCTGTCAAGAGGTCATGTGTAGTTGCTGACATGGTGACAGCTGGTTGACCACTGCTCAAAGGGGGGAAAGAAGAGAAGAATATACCGGCGGGGATAACATGAACCAAATGAGCCGCTGCTTTACCCCTTGATCACCAGGACTGCCACAGCCTGAAGGGCTGAATGGAAGACCTGCAACCAAACCGTGTATAGAATTTGCCTGTAGCAGGCTGCTAACTGGGATAAGACTGCTGCTCTCTTCCCATTACCACAATAGGTCATGAAACAGGCTGGTAGATCTGTATAAGCCTGTTCCACTGTCTTTCCATACACAAAGCTGTTTTTAAGTACAGGGAATTACGCGCCAAACTGGTTTGACTGGGGTATGCAGAGATCAGTGTACGGTTTATGTGAAAATTAGTCATCAGTATATCTACAGGAATGTTCCTTGAAGGGTTTGTCATGTTCCCTGGTTTAATCTGCATTTTGGTTCTTTCAATATAATAATAATAAATGATAATTATAAGGAATTTTTGTTAAGTTATATTTGTTTATTATGTTTTATAAGCTCGTTATTTATTTCAACAAATTTCTTTTGCTTCATTTTCTGTTGTGCTAAACTCTTTAGATTTTTCAGTAAAATTGACCATATCATTGAATATATCATAGAAGGAATAGTTGCTGACTACTGTCTCTGTGTGCATTTTCTTCTTTGCTTCCAGCGTTGTTGGTCCATCAGAAGGCCCGCATGGAAAGACTGTGGCACGAGCTGGAGCTGAAGAAGAAGAAGCTGGAGAAGTTAAAAGAGGAAGTCAATGAGATGGAGAATGACCTCACCAGGAGACGGCTGGAGAGATCCAACTCAGCCTCTCAAATTCCTTCTGTGAGCTGCATTCTCTGATTTTTAAAGATAGAAATGTGTCCATAGCGAATTCTCTTTAGATTTTTGTGTGTGATATTTGTCTTGACTTGATGGTGAAGGTTAAAATACAGACAGGAGTTGTGGAGAGAGAGAGGTGAGTGTGTAAAGCTGCAAAGTTCCATAAACTAAACCAAAGCAGGGATATTCCTGTTTTATTGATGTCCCTGCTCCCTACTTCAAATCTTATGGCATTTATTATTCTGAACTGTAATTATCAGCTTTAGCATGATACAACGAAGATGGTTGTCGCATACCTCAACCACATACTGTACCTGACACCAGTCAGTGTAGAAGAACGCTGATTTGCAGATCAATGTGCATTAAGTTAAATGTGTTTTTAGCAGTAACGTCTGTAATTAGGAGTCGTCATGTTCTTCATAACTTCAAACTAATGTTTTACTAGTTATGACTGAGAGCTAAAGGCAATCTGGGTGACATTGTCATTCTTGGTTTCTGCTCACTGTGCTTCAGTGCTCTGACACCCTGAAACTATGTTGATTACAGGGTTTGTTTATGATTTGCTCTTATTGCTCAGTATTTTCAGACCAACAGAGCACACCCTCAGATCCACTTTACAGTTCATACTGCAGCAGCTTATTCAGAGATAACGTTTACAAGTGATACTGAGACATTAAAGAAACTTAAAGTGAACAGGTTTTCTCAGTTCACCAGTTCATAGATTTGCAGCTGTCCGTTTGTTGAAACCCCTTGGGGTCAGAAGAAGTGCCACTCTGTGTTGAGTCAGCTGTTTTATCAGCTACAGTATTTACAGTTTGAGTCAGAGGGGGAAAGGGCCTGTGTAAGGTTTAACTGGCCATTGTTGGTGAACTTAGTAGCTCCTTGCTTCAGTGTTGTTTACTGAGGTTAGCCAGGTCTGCAGAGTGGAGAGCTGGCATCCTGTCACGCTTACAGATCTGCTCTGCTGACTTTACAGTACAAGCACAATGTCTTCTTTAGGGATGGGCAATGATTTTCGAATATTCAAATAGTCAATACATTAAAAAAAAAAATCAAAGATTTCATGCGAGTGGTTTTGTCTTTAAAAACAAAGAGGCACTGTTTTTCCTTGGTTTTACTGGGGCCTGGAAATAACATAACAAAGTCAGTATATCATTTAACTACACCACCAAATACAAACAGCAGAAACACATAAACTATCAAAATGTTCTATGTGGAACTTCTTCAAGAAAATAAACAAAATTCAGTTGCAATTCAAACTCTGCCAAGTTAAGTTAGCATATCATAAATCAACAACAACTATGCACAGCCATTTGAGGGCGAGGGATCCAGCAGAAAGTGGGGTGCCGTCCACACAACAGTCAGTAGCTTTGTCACCTGAAGAAGGGAGTTTGATGATTGACGTGCAGAGCAAACGGCCCTCATCACAAAGATGATAGCAAAGGTCTTCGAATAGTTCCCTGTGAATAAGTGAATATCGAATAGTATTTTAGCTTGAAATGCCCATCCCTGGTCTTTATGTGTTGTGGCTCTGTGTGTCTGAGGTCTAACTTTGATTTTCTGCTATTCTCTTTCCTTATTTGTCAGATTGAGGAAATGAAGCAGTTGCGATGCAAAAACAGGGTACTGCAGATCGACATTGACTGCCTCACCAAAGAAATTGATCTCCTTCAAACAAGAGGTAGGAGTCTGTCTCCCACTCTTTGATATACAGTATTTAAGTCTCAACTATTTGGGGATCTTAACCTGGTGTTCACCTTATGTACATGTCTGTCTTATAAAATAATGAGTGTTGAATTACTTTTTGCAGTAGCTTGCTGGTAGTAAACTACATTTATATTTATGCTGTGATTCAAGTAGTTAAATTACTTTTTTCTCTTTTTTGTGTAGTTAACTACAGAAACTACAAACTGTTTTGGGCCATAAAAGGAAAGGCATGATCTTTTTAAATTTGTCTATCACAAAAATATAACATTTAGGACTGTTTAGTTTGGGTCCCATGGGTACTCCAGGAAGCTGGATTATCATCTTACCTGAGAAAAATATTTGGATAGCCCCACCTGGACTTTAGTTTCTGGAAGGCAGGGGTCTGATAGACAATTGGAAAATCCCAAGTATCTTATAAGCACCATTGATTCCCTCATTTGCATCTTTGCCTTGTCTTAGTCCCACCCATGTAAGATTTGGGGAAAGCCTGTGAGAAGAAAGAACTTGAGGAAACTTGTTATTAATGACATGAGACATCCTTCATCTGAAGTGTCCAGTCATCCAATCACCAACTGATTTTTGATAAAGGGGTGTGTCAGTTCACAAAAAACTTCAGCAAAGGAGGGTCTCAGGTATCCGCGCTCACTTCTCCTCCAGCACTGTCCTTGGTCCTCAGAACGTCCTCCTTTCTCGAGGACGATCTTATGAGAGACATGTATTCAAAGCCAAAGATGACCTCCTTTGCACTTGCACATGCATAGTGGGGTTTCATAATCTGTGGTTTATGTATGACCTGAGAACAGGTAGGCATGTTTTGCATTTAGTTCAATTGAGTGGCATATTTTGCTGGTCTTTGCTTTGTTATTTGTATGAGGTTCCCCACATACCCCCAGCCATAACAAGGCTGCAGCGCTGGCGCTAAGCTAAAGGCTAGGCATTTGGCAAAGCAGTGGAGGTACAAACCCTCAGTTCTGTAGGTGATTATGGTTAATGTTAACCAAAGAGAAGGTGGTAGACTTCCAGAGGCCCAAACCCCACCTGAAGCCAGTGTCCATTGAGGGGATCTGTGTGGAGGTCTCCAGACCTACAGATACCTGGGTCTGCAACTGGACAACAAACTGGACCGGTCCACAAACACAGATGCACTGACAGAGACGGCAGTACATTCTGAGGAGACTGGGGTCCTTCAACATCTGCAAGAAGCTGCTGCAGATGTTCTACCAGTCTATCATCGCCCGTGTCCTTTTCTATGCTGTAGTGTGCTGGGGAGGCAGCATTAAGAAGAGAGATGCCTCACGGCTGGACAAACTTGTGAGGAAAGCTGGCTCTGTAGTGGGTACAGAGCTGGACTCCCTTAGCGGAGAAGAGGATCCTCAGTAAGCTGTTGTTCATCCCGGACACTGTTCATTACCCTCTGCACAGCACCATCAGCAGGCAGAGGAGTTCATTCAGCAGCAGGCTGCTGTCTCTCTCCTGCTCCATGGACAGACTGAAGAAGTCTTTTTGTCCTTCGGGCCATACAACTCTTCAGCTCCTCCCAGTGAGGACGTCTGATCTGACTGGCACATGGACATGTGACGTCACTACTCAACTCAATAAAATTATGACCCCACTTCACTATAACACTATACTACTGCATAGTTTACCTTTGGTTTTACCTTTGAACATAATGCTCACTCTTGCACATGTTGGCGTTGCATATGGGTACCCCATGCACATTTACTTATGTATACCTGGCACACATTACTCAATATGTATATATAGAGACTTTGTTAATTCAATAAAATTTTTATTTGTATAGCGTCAAATCACAATAAATGTCATCTCAGGACACTTTACAAAGTAAGGTCTAGACCCTACAGTTATCACTATTGTTGTAAGATATATAAGCAAGGGAAAGAAATGTATTAAAAATAACTCAATAGTTCTGGACAATCATCAATACAGCTGTAATATGTATAAACAAGGAAAATAAAGTTATGAAAAGTAACTAAAGGTATGAGAAGGAACTAAAGCTTACAAAGTAACTAGAGTCTATAAGAATCAAATCTTACATTCTTCAGAACTCATTTGCATATTGCGTACTTGTCAGTGTTCAGTATTCCTTGTAACAGCTCATGACTGCTTTTGACCGGTTGTAACCAACTTCCCCATTCACAGTATTTTAGCAGTTTAACTTCTCTTCTCTTAGAAAACTAAATCATCCTAACCCAATAAAAACACAGAAAACACATCTGATTAAAATACAAAGAATCCCATTATTGCTTTCAGGTAAACAATCAGAATTACACCCTGATTACACAAAACTATCAATGCCTTAAAATCAAAACATGGATCTTGTTCCATGTATGCCCTGCCTGCTAGCATCTTGCACCCCGCTGTTATGTGCTGGATTGTCTGAGGGGCATCTTTGCACAGCCTGCACCTGGGGTCCTGTCTGGTATGGTAGACCCCGACCTCTATTGATCTTGTACTTACAGTAGAGCTTGTTCTTGTGCTGCCAGGATTAGTGCCTCTATGCTGTCTTTCAGTCCAGCTTTATCCAGCCACTGGTAGGATTTTTCGATATCAGCCACTTCTAATATTTGACAGTGGTACATGCTGTGCAGAGGTTTGTCCTTCCATGAGGGATCCTGCTCTTCCTTCCCTTGTTCCTCTGGTTTCTGCTGCGTGAGGTATTCACTAAGCACGCCATCACTCGGGGCCATCTTCCTGATGTATTCATGGATCTTTGTCATTTCATCCTGGATAGTGGCTCTGACACTCACTAATCCTTAGCCTCCTTCCTTCCGCTTAGTGTACAGTCTTAGGATGCTGGATTTGGGGTGAAACCCGCCGTGCATTGTAAGGAGCTTCCTTGTCTTGATGTCCGTGGCCTCTGTCTCCTCCTTCAGCCAGCTTATTATGCCAGCGGGGTACCTGATGACCAGCAGAGCGTAGGTGTCACCAGGACTTTGTTCTTTTCATTCAGCCGACTATATCCATAGGTCCCACATCCTCCGTATGTGAGAGGGGTTACATATGGAGGATGTGGGACCTATGAATGTATATACATATATATAATTTATATACTTATTTCACATATTTAAATTTTTTTCCCCCTTATATTTTAGTCTGACACTTTTATACATTACTTTAGGTGCTGTGATTTTGGTAACCATTGCCGTTGCTACTGGATACCTACATTTCCCTTGGGATCAATAAAATCTCTCTATCTCTACCCCCCCCGTTTTAACTAAGCTAGACTTCTCCCTGGAGGAGCTTTCCTGTAGTTTAGCTTCTTCCAGTGTGAAGTAATCGGTAGCTTGAAAAGCTCTGCTTTCAGAGTATCTTCCCCAGCACTGATAATAAAGTTAACAATAAGTCATTTAGTATGGGGGGTGAACTCTGATCCAGGGCCAGAGCATGGGTCAGGCCTGCTCACATCCTCTCGGTACACACAATCATGGTGCTGCCTTTGTACTATTAACTGCCAGTTCTTCCTGAATTGCATCCTGTTCCTGGTTGGTAATAAGGGTTTTATTGGCCCCTTGGCAGCGTTTTACTGCTGACAGAGATCAAGTTGTTGGCCAACACGTTTACATTGGTGAAGCACAGAGGTGACCGACACAACTGAACATGATAGACCTGGTGATAGTTGCGTGTAGACAAATGCCAGGACCTGTGACTCAGTTATGATGCCAATTCAGTCACTTTGTTGATGTATAATTTAGATTTGTTTCTTATTGATTTTCTATTTATTATTGATACTTAGTATTTATATTTCACTTGTATTGTGTGGCATTCATGTGGACGGCAAAGTAAGAATTTCATTGTACAGGGAAACATGTTTCATAACTGCGCATATGACAAATAAACACTTTTGACCATGATAGGCCAAAGGCAGGGGAGCCACACCAAGTCATATTTATAACAGGAGCCCACAGCGTTATATTTACTGTTAAAAAAAAGACTTTCTTTGTCATCCTTTAATATTATCACATTATACATAGTCATGCTTGGTTTCCAACCTGAGTTTTTTGTTGTGGATAAATCAGACCACCCTATTTGAAACTGTGCGATGTTTGAGGTTATAGCTGTTCAGGAACATAAAGGTTTTAGCTTCCTGCTGTATTTGGAAGTGCATGTATTCTGTATTGTGTTATCTGTTGATGGTTTTGTGTAGAGCCTGAGTTTATGCCAACTGTTGACTTCATAGCACTGTGAGCAGCATAAATCTGTGTTACATGTAAAGTAAACCTGTGGTTTTCCTTCTGTTTACAGGACCACACTTTAATCCCAGTGCAATCCATAATTTTTATGACAACATTGGATTCCTTGGTCCTGTCCCGCCCAAACCCAAAGGTACTTCATCTATTGGTAAGTTTAGAAAAGCGTTCATGGTTGTTATTTGACACTCCTTATTTTTCTGTAAACATTCCTGTCATTTATTTTATTTGCTACTTCTGTATTGGCCCCTGTTATATTCCTGCTTATGGGATATAATGTAATAACTGTCAGAACTTTATCTTGCCTTGTTATGAATGCCTTGTTTGCAAGCCCAGCCTCCTGAGGAGGGAGGGGTCTCACTTGGCCCTCTTCTGGGTGCAAGCAGTGCAAGACAAATAAATTCTTTAAAAATCATACAATGTGATTTCCTGAAATTTTTTTTAATTCTGTCTCTTAGAGTGGGAATGCACCTACAATGTGAATTTCAGACCCCTCCATGATTTCTAAGTGGGAGAACTTGCAAAATCGCAGGGTGTTCAAATACTTCTGTTCCTCACTGTATATTTTGTTCCTTCAATTTCACAGAAATTTCAGTTGATGATTGCAATTTGATTACTTTATTGTTATTTGCATTTGTCTCCTGTTATTAATATTCTACATTAAAAATATTTTTCTTATTTTATTCAGGTTACTTGAATTCATTTCGGGCTACTAAAAACCAAAGAGTACCTGCCCGAAGGGCTACCAGGGATTTTTAAATTTTGCGAGCCCTGTAGACCCCCTAATGCTTCCACCGAGCAACAAAACCTGAACATCTCATGTACTCTGTGCAAAAGAACATCTTTGAGTTTTTCAGTCTAGTGGTCCTACATTTCACAGTTCTGAACCTCCGGCCAGAGGGTAGAGAAGTGAACAGTCCATGCTGGGGGTGGGTTGGATTTTTAAGGTTGGAGGAAGGCTTCCTATGCACCCTGCGGTGGTAAATGCTCTGCAGAGAGGGCAGTGGAGTCCTGATGATCTTCTCCGCAGTCTTTACCACTCTCTGCAGGCGCTTGCGGTCCTTAGCAGTAGTGCTGCCATACCAGACAGTGATGCAGCTGGTCAAGATGCTCTCAATGATGCAGCTGTAGAAGTTGCTGAGGATCTTAGGCGACAGGCCAAACCTCCTCTGCCTCCTCAGCCGATGTCTTTACTTGTCTTCTTTTTCCCCTACTGTAATCTTTGGCCATCCATCTCTGTCATATTCAGGGCTAGACAAGAGACGATGTAGATATAATGTGACCTCTGAACACATGGTGGAGACCTCCTCTGGTCTTTCCCCTCCCCCCCCCCTTCATAGTCATCAGCGGTATTCAGGCTTATTCATTAATATATTTGATTGAATCACAGTTTACCAAATCTAAGCAAACCTACTGCCATCCAGTGTTTTATAGGATAAGGATAATAATCATTTTTATTTGGCCAAGTATGTTACACACAAGGAATTTGTTTCCGGTACAGAACCGAGGCAGCCATTTGCGCCACCAACTCAACCGATGGCTCTAACCATCAGAGGGCAACTTGGGGGTTCAGTGTGTTGCCCAAGGACACTTTGACATGTGGACTGCAGGCACCGAGATGCGAAGCTCCGACCCTACGGTTGGGAGGCAACTGCTCTATCCCCCACTGAACCACAATCGCCTCCTATAGACTAAAAAGCATAATAGCATTTTTAGATTTATTCAACATTTAAAGGATAAGAATAAAGAAGGTGCCATCCAGAAGCGTCCAGCATAGTGGTTTTTGGCTTGTGACCATTTAAACCAAACGTTGTCCACAGTAGAGACATTACACTGCAGACAGTGTGTCTTGGAGGCGGGAGGAGCAAGTCCGTTCTTACGAGGAATGAAGAGGCCAGTTTGTTTGTTTTTTTGCAATAGAAGAGCAAGATTTAGAGAAATGCCAGAAAACAGTACATACAAATATATATATATATAGTTATTTATCTATTTAATTATTTTAGCGTTGGTAGGCAGAGAGACACTTAGCAGCATCCCCCAGCATGCTCAAGACAGAATCGCCCATAATGCCCGCTGAGCACAGCAAGTATATAGTTCTGGGTTGGTGGGATTGTTTTAGTGTATTAGTGTTCAGGGTGCTGTTGGTGCTGTTGTGTGTGGGGAAAAGAGTAAAAGACCAGCTCTGGTCTCCCAAGCCTTCTTCCAGGAAAAAAAAAAAAGCTTTAATGTTTCTAATTTCCTGTTTCCTCCTTTATCTTGTGACTTGCAGGTTGAGAAACGCTGACCTAGTAGCACTGATTTTGCAGTCAATGTTAGGATAAACTGTGCTGCTGTCAACAACAGTGCTTTTCTGTCTGATGACATTTTTCATTCCTGGACTGTTCATGCAGTGGCACAAATAGGTTTTAGAAACATGTTTTTTGTAGACATGCAGCTGTCATCCAGGTGCTGCGTAAACTTTAACCTGAAAATGTTTACATTAGATCACTGCCAAGTGGGCAGTAATCCAATTACTGCAGTGCATGCAAACATGCTGAGTGAGCACAGCGTTCACCTCTGTATATCAACGTATGTAAACAGTTTTGATTTCTATGTTTTCATCACCTCATGGATTAACTTGCACTTCTCCTCTGGTATTGTATCCTGTACTGACCCGTTTGGTATTCTTCTTCTCCTCCTCCTCTATGTTGCAGACAGTAAGATGGTGAAGCCCATTGCAGACCAGGAGGAGGATGAGGGGACGCAGTGGAGCTGCACAGCCTGCACCTTCCTCAACCATCCTGCCCTCCACCGCTGTGAACAGTGCGAGTTCCCACGGCACTTCTGAGCCAACTAGGCTGCGACATGCCGCCCACTCATCTGCCCACCAGTCTTCTACCAGACTAGAATAGAAAAGGGCCATAACTGTTTTTTTTCCCCCAACATTTATGAGAATTGGGATGGGGTATAGTCACTGTGCGTCGTCTGGCATGTTCCTTCTTTTTTTTTTTCCTGTTTGGGTTTTGTCGTTTCTCGTCTCTAAGGTTTGTAGAATGCTGTCCACTGAAGGCTTGACTGGATAGTGTTTACAACTCGTGTTTCTTCCTAAAGGCCAGCAGAGTTGGATGATACCTCACCTTAGAGACGCTGATTGTCTGGGGTCAGCTCCCCTCCTTTCTGCTTGACGGGTGACACTTTACCCCTGGGGATACCTCGCTGCTCCCACTTACAGTATTACGAGTGTGGCCCTGCAGTGTGACGGTGCACATACACACACATACACACAATACAGGTGCCAGTGTGCCTTTGCTGAATTAATATTTTTGTTTTTCTTCCTCTGTGGTGGCATGACCAGGGATTGGGATCTGTGTTCAGCCACTGCTCTCCATCTGAAGGGAAAACTAACAGACTACTTGTGGACTTTAAAGTTTGTTTGCTGTTTCTAGAGGATGTCAAAAGGGAAACTGGCAGTGTTGCTGCCACTCAAGTGTGCCTCTTGTCCTCCTCCTTCAGTCCTTTTTCTGGCTCTTCAATCATGAGTTAATGAAAAAAAGAAACTACGTTGCATGCTTTGTGTACAGTACATGGAGGCAGAAAATGCCCTTGAGCTTTTTACTGTACATAATTTTAGAATGTGCCTTACAAGCCTTCTTCCTCACACTATGAATCACTTGTATTTCCTGTCAGTATAGCTTTATAGACTTCAACTTTTTTTGTTTTGTTTTGTTTCCCTCTTTCCACCAAATAAGCACGATGCTCCCTTTTTAAGCTTTTTACTTGATACCTGTGAGAGTTGAAGCCTTGCAGAAGGAGAGGAGCAGAGTAGTAAAAACCCTTGCAGTCATCATGAAGCTACGTCTGTCAGGTCTGTTCATCGCTTGTGTAATTGCTGAGTTTCCTGTGTACGATCTGCAGATGCAGCATAGAGGAAGGCAATGGAGTTCTTTTTTTCCAGGACACCAAATATTTGTGGGTCTGTCGGGGGAGGGAAGGGGTCAAAAAGCAAAATTACAGACTGTCATATTATCTGACAACTGGAATGTAGGTTTAATGTTTGGGGACAAATACACCTCAGTGCAAAGAGACACTAATTTTCCAGTACAATCACGATGTTACTGCAGATTGATATCAAAGTGCTCCTGGAACAGCTGATTGGGTAAATGTTACCATGTTATGTTCATCTGAATTGGATTTCTGTCATGTATCATGGATCAAAATGAATATTTCTCTTTAAACTGTTGCTATAATGTCAAAATAATCATATGGGTCCCATGCCTTGTATACAGTAGATCTGTTTTAACTTCTTGTAAGCAGATAAGGCACAAACAAATGTTTCTAAACTAAGCACAACATGGCTGCCCACTTTGTATACTTTAGTTTTATTTGGCTCAATTCACCCTTCTAAACTTTTATAGATGAGGGTGTTTCGAAAGTTTACTTATTGTGCTTAACTTGCCTTGGAACTGTGGCATAGTTTTTTCCATGTTTGTGAAATGCTGCCTTACGTTAGTGCCTTTAGAATTTGTATCGATCATCTGCAGTGAGTATAGAAAGTTTTCAGACCCTTTCAAGCTTTCCACATTTTGTTACGACTCATCTTAAAATTGATTCAATTAATTTTTTCTGATTAATTTATACACAGTACACCACAATGATAAATTGAAAACTGTTTTTTTGAGTGTTTTGAAAATGTATTAAAAATAAAAGACTGAAACATCCTGTTTATGTAAACAAATAGGGGGGTGTTTGTGCACAGGCATTTTCAGGTCTCTCCAGAGGTGCTTGCTTGGGTTCAGGTCCAGACTGGCTGAGCTGGTCCAGGACTTTACAGAGAGAGTGGCTTTCCTGAAGCCACTCTGTGTTTTCTTGGCTGTATGCTTCAGGTCGTTGTCTTGCTGAAATGTAAACCTTATATAAGGAGAGCACTCTGGAGGTTTTCATTCAGGATTGCTGTGTATTTTTCTGCATCCATCCTTCCCTCTGTCTAGTCTTAGTTCCAGTCACAGAAAAACATCCCTACAGCCTGATGCTGCCACCACTATGTTTGACTGGAGGGATGGTATTAGTGTGGTGATGCTCAGTGTCTGGTTATCTCCACACACACCATTGGAACTGTGGCCAAGTCTTTCAGTCTTTGTTTCATCAGACCAGAGGATTTTGCTCCTCATGGTCTGAGAGTCATTCAGGTGCCTCTGGCAAACTCCCAGCAGGCTGTTGTGTGCCTTTTAGTGAGGAATGGCTTCTGTCTGGCTGCTCGACCATGGAGGCTTCACTGGAACTCTGAGTCTCATTCATAGTGACCCTTGGGTTCTTGGTTACCAGTCTGACCAAAGCCCTTCATCCCCGATTACTGCGTTTGGCTGGGTGGCCAGATCTATGAAGACTGCTGGTCATTCCAGATCTCTTCCATTTGAGAATGATGGAGGCTGCCATGCTCTTGGGCTCTTTCAGCGCTGCAGACGTTTTCTTGTATCCTTCCCCTTAGCACAGTTCTCCCCACATCATGGCTTTGTTTTCACTCTGACATACTGTACATCATTAACTATGAGACCTCATATAGACAGGTGTGTGCCTTTCCTAGTTCTATGCAATGTATTAAATTAGGCCCAGGTGGACTCTGATCAACCTGTAGAAGCATCTCATGGACCACTGATAGGAGCAGGATGCACCAGAGCTCAGCTGCAAGTGTCAAAACAAAGGGTCTGAATACTTATGCAAATGCGATATTTCAGTCTTTTCTTTTTAATAAATTTACAAAGCACTCCAAAAACCTGTTTCACTTCATCATTGTGGAGTACTGTGTGTAGATTGATAAGGAAAAATTAAACTGAATCCATTTTAAGATGAGTCGAAACATAACAAAATGTGGGTCTGAATACTTTCTGTACTGACTGTACCATCACACCCAAGTGCAATTTCTAAAACCAAAATCTTAGTATTGTTTAAACCCATTTAAAGAAGAGTTGTTGTCTCTGAAGCACTAATACCATACTTTTCCCCAACTCAAAGAAACCAGTTTTCAGCTATATCTGCACCTTGGTGTGAAGAGGCAGTTTTTAATTCATGTTTTGTTAAATGGAAAAAATTTGGATATCTAAAGTGTTTTTGATTTTAGCTGAGAAACTGTCTTTGTAACAGATAAGTTATTTGTAAAAAATAATAAAAAAAGAAATCTATTCTGAATGTTTTTGGTGCGTCCTTGTGATGCTGCACCTTTTTCCACTAGATGGCAGTAGATGGCAAATTTCAGTTGAACCAGCCACCAGCTGCATGTTTCCAAATCCTTTACACTGGCTGAAAGTGCTTAAAACATTCAGATAGTAATGATTCTGAACTTATGACGATGTTGTATGATGTCTGCTGTGACTCTGGAGGAACTTTGTCAAGCCTCAGGTTAATGTCTGTGACTTTAAGACTGCCAACCATGTGCATCAACCCAGAGCTGACTAAACTGCTACAAGGGCAAAAATAAGAGAAAGGTTCAACAGTTTCATCAGATTCATGACAGAATAAACACATTTCAGGATCAAAATGAAACTTTTTGCTTAGGAAATCAGCTATATGTGACACTTTGGGAAGAACTGGACACTTTATATAGAAAGTAAAGGCTTTGCTGAGCATAGTTTTATCTGATCTATGGAAACTATACCAAGGGCCAGCCTTAAAACTAGGGGCACCAATACACTTGTACAGCTTCCTGACATAAGAGCTTGTTATTTAGATGGTAAGCTAATAAAGTGAGGCTACCAGAAAAGAGCATACTAGTCTTAATTAACTGGACAAATGCAGTCAGAAGAGCATCAGTTAGGCCTATTGAATGGTACAGTATAACCTAGAACAAATAACACTGAATTTAAGACTGAAGTTTACATGGGATAGAAACTGACCATTAGTGTCTAAGATGTCTTGCATGAAGATTAGACTATAATACTTTATTAAACCAATCAAACCACCAAAGTCAGCCTTTAGAAAAAAATCTGTAGGTTCCCTCCCAGGTTTATTGGAACTCATGTTAGAGATACTATGTGGTACCACTGTGACTGGCATTTGGTTATGCTCTGTCAGACTGAATTTTAAAGGCAAAGGTCAGTTCTCAGTCTTTGTAATCTCTAACCAGTGGTGGAAAGTAGCTAATTTCATTTACTCAAGTACTGTACTGAGGTACAATTCTGAGGTATCTGTACTTTTCATTGTATTTTCATTTTCTGTTACTTCATACTTTGACTTCACCACATTTTAGAGGCAATTATTGACCTTTTTATTCCACTACATTTATTTTATAACTTTAGAAACAGATTAATACAAAAAATACTTGTATTAAATAATTATAAGACTTCATTGATCTGTGGTGGAAAATTCACAACCTACCCAGCAGTAATTCAAAGTATATAAGCCAGTTAAATCTCTCCTTTACCAGCTGCAACATTAAATGTGATGAACACAACAATGCATCACTAATTGTAACACAATAATATGATGTACAGGAATGTAAATGGTCTTACACTTGTACAGCTTTTTTCTATGCATTGCAACAAATTCAAAGTGCTCACACACCAGTAGCAACTGGGGGTTCAGTGTTTTCCTCAGACACTTCAACATGTGGACTGGACAAGCTGGGAATCGAGCTCCTAATCTTCCTGTTAGGAGACGACCCGCTCTACCTCCTGAGCTAAAGCCTTTCTGCCTTTCTGGATAATGAGTACCGTTATTTTTAGTACTTTATGTTTTGGTACTAATTCTTTTGTACTTTTATTTAAGTAGCATTCTGATTGCAGGACTTTTAACGAGTATTTTTTACACTGTTGTACTGCTACTCTTACTTAAGTAAAGGATCTGAGTACTTCTTCCACCACTGGTCCTAAATGCACCTTAAAGGGACCCAGAGGTAACTGATTACTGAGAGAAGTCCAGTAGTCTCCAGTGAGCACAACCGTGTTTATCTGTTCATGTCTCTTTTTTCATTGTGGTCTGGCTCACAGGTCCAGTTCATCCCAAAGATGCTGGATGGAAATGAGGTCTTTGAAGGTCAGGTAGATTGTTTCTCAACAAAATAAGGCCGCTCTTCAGAAAACCCATAGGTGACATCATGGAGGTATTGTCTGTTTTTTATATCCAGTCTGTCTGTTGTATAAAAAATGTAATGTATTTTTATAGCCAACTTCCCAGCGCTGTGTAAATAGATACAGCTAGATACAGTTCAACCAGATGCAACATTTTAATGCCACTTTAATGGTTAATGCATCAACAATAATATAATATAAACATTTGCAAAGGACCATTTTGCATAATGAATACATTTACCTTTGAAATTACAAGTACTTATAACATGATAACACTCAATTTACATTTTAAATTGTAGAAGCTGTTACCACGTTGGAAGCACATTGTTGTCTGAAATATTTATATTTGGAACTAGGGGCCCAGGCCATAAAAAACAACCCAAGATGATGTGATGTCCACATACTTTGTTCTGACCTTTGGTCACATCGTACATCTTTTTCATCCATTTGACAAATTCTTTCGATCCATAAAGTCTCGTTCATACTTTGTCACATACAAATATCCAGAATGATCTGAGTGCTTTTACTTTGTAGGCACAGTAAAAACACAAGCCTTTAGAATTCACATCTAAAACTGGTATATTCTTTACAAAAGTACAGAATACAGTGTTCCTCACTTTGAGGCAACATGAGAAAAACTGCTACAATAAGTAGCTTATATGGAGCATAGTGCATTGCACTTTTACACTTGGGCTACATTTTCAAGACTTCATCAGATTGAGTCACTTTTTAATGCTTAGAATTTAAGGTACGTTAGAATGTGTCCAAGAAAGTATAATTCACAAATATAAATTCACAGTCACTTTAAGAAGAGCAGACATTTTCTTCATTGTTCACTTTGCTTCTGGAATGAGAATTCCACCATGGGCTCAGTTTTACTTCGGAAAAAAAACCTGTCTTTCTAATCTAGAAGGCCATATGGCTGGGTCTGTAGCGTTGGATAAGAGCAGCCAGTTCTGACATGTCTGAGATGTGTGGGTAAGCATTCATGACTTGTTCCACCAGAGCCTGGGGGAAGCTGGCGCTCAGCTGCCTCCTCAGGCTGTTCCTCTGCTCACTGGATGGCCTCTTAGGCCAGCCACTCAGCCTGTCTTCAGGGAGGCTGTGTGGCTCCCACGGGTGCTTGGGCAGTCTGAGGTTTTGTTTGGTGGGGGGTTTCCTGAAGTACCACTCGTCCGACAAATGACCAGCATACTCTCTGTTTTGTGGAGGCAGAGTTGGGAAGGAACTGTATAGTTCGCGGTGATCACAGGGGGACATCCTGGTCTGCTGGTGACCGCAGCTGCAATGGCCACCCACTCCAGGGACTGCACAGCACCTCGAGGTGTTCCCTGTGTACGAGCCAGAGGTGGAGTAGCCGTCATCGCTCAGGCTGTGGTTGGCCACACCATTGCTGAAGGTGTAGCAAGAGCTCTTCATGCTGTAGGACATGTCCTGGATACAGAGCCGGGACATGGAGCTGTCCATGGAGCTGAAGGACTCCTCTGGGCTCGGGCAGTAGTGGAGGCTTGAGCTGGATTGGCTTCTTGGGCTGCTGGAATCTCTGTGATGGATGAACTGCTCACTGGGTGAAGCCCTGTGTGCCTGGTCTTCTATGCTCAGGGGTGGAGGGGTGGATGAGTAGTAGCTGCGCTCCATCTGGTACACAGCAGGGCAGAAGCATGTGTCCTGCAGGTTCGGTTTGGGTGAGAGGTTCTTGGTTCTGTCACTCAGCGCCCTCAGTTCATCAGCCACAGAGAGCTGGGACTGGTTGGCCCACTCTGGGTGATAGTATTTGCACTTCACTCCATAAGTACACTTCTTTCCTGAAGGAAAGAAATAAAAGGTTATTTATTTAGTCAGTCACAAACGCATTAGATGTGACCTCTAGCTTTTCTGTGCCTCAGGTACATGAGAAAACTCTCATCGGTCTTTTTCCATGTACAGATCCTGCTCCCCTGGTTTGCTGTTTGGCCCCAGTTACAAACAGTGTCAGGCTGTGTGTCTCACAGGCCCAGCCGCTGCCTGACGGGGGGGGTTTCATATGCTCCAATTGCCAGTCAGTACTGGCTCCATTCCTTCCTGAGGTTTGATGAAGCTACCTTGAGTTACCTCATAAAAAATGTTACATTTTCCAGTGTAAGTATTATATCCTGTTGAAATTATATTTAGCAAGAACAGAGGTTTGCTCATGGTTTGGAGCACTTGTCTTTTGAAAATCTGGAAACTCCAGTCTGGGTGATGTTTCAGGACTTTACTTCCTCTGTGAGTTGAGCAAACATTTTAATCTTATGAAATGTCTGCCCACAAAATAATGATGTATGATCACTGTGACCACTTCTACACCTGTCAGACTGCACAAACTTCAGGTATAACTAGAGCAATGCATTTCCTGTCGAAAATGCATGTGGATGCTGATATGCTGAAGGATCACCCTGAAAATGCCTGAAATCAATTGCTGAAACAGCTGAAGGATGAGAAGGAATGGCTGAAGTTCTTTGCTGAAAAAGGTAAAGGATGAGATGCAATGCTGAACAATTGTGGAAGTTGAAATAATGTTTAATGATTATGAAAAATGAAAAGAAAAAGTTCAATAATTACTGTATGTAAGATGAAATCAAAAGCTGAAGTTGTGTGTCAGCAGGTCTCACAATGTAAGGAAAACAAACACAACTGTGTGTGTGTGTGTGTGTGTGTGTGTGTGTGTGTGTGTGTGTGTGTGTGTGTGTGTGAGAGAGAGAGAGAGAGAGAGAGAGAGAGAGCCATACTAGTAGTCCTACACCCCGAGGACTACTAGTATGGCTATTGAAACGAAACATAAAATGTAAACATCAATTTGCAAAAAAAACTTAAATGATATTAAAAAGCTGTTTACAGTATGAATAGCTGAAGAGCTGCTGAATAGTTAACAGATGAAATTGTGTTTTTAGCTGAAAGTATGCTGAACTTATTAAGGTGTGAAAATTTTTCCCATTCATTTGAATGGGGCAAAATTTGCAAAAAATAAGCTAAATATTTTAAAAAGTATAAATGTTACAAAAAAGAAAAATACAAGCAGGAACATCCTTGAACAGCTGAACATTTTGATACCTGGCTTTTATAGCAGAAAGTATGCTAGAGTTATAAAGTATCAAAAAACAGATGGAAGATCCCAGAATAATAAATAAAGAACAGGATAACAATAGTGTGGATGCTCAGCATCTGCACAATAATAAAGAATAGGATAATATAGTTTTGATGCTTCTCAGTATCCACACACAGTGGTAAAGTAGCAGTAGCAGTTTAGTCAGTCAGTCAAAGTAATAGCTGCTGCAGTTTCCACCACACTGGTGCAACCTGCAGGAGATATGTACAGCTGTGGTTTATTCAGCCTAGAATCATTTACTGTTTTCTTGTAACAATGCACCTTTTGACATCTATCACATGTTCTTTAACATTTGTAACATTTGTACTTTTTTGATTTTGTCCTGATTTAAATCAGCCACTATACACTATCCCAACAATGTGCGTGTGTGTATATGTAAAGGAATTGGTAGTAACACCAGAGGAGCAAAGCACCAGCTACTGGTTGATAAAGTAGTCACTTGAGACTGCAAGACTAGACACACGAACCTGTGCACTGCCTGGATTGACTACAAGAAAGCCTATGACTCAATGCCTCACACATGGATCCTGGAATGCTTGGAACTGTACAACATCGACAGAACTCTAAGAGCCTCCATCACCTCAATCGGAATGTGGAAAACAACCCTAGAGGCCAACTTCAAGCCAATTGCACAAGTAAACATAAAGTGCGGTATCTACCAAGGAGATGCTCTGTCCCCGCTGCTGTTCTGCATAGGGCTGAACCCCCTCAGCCAGATCATCACTGAGAGCGGTTATGGATACTGACTACGGAATGGAACAACCATCAGCCACCTCCTCTACATGGATGGCATCAAGCTGTATGTCAGGAGTGAACGAGACATCAACTCACTGATCCACACCACTAGGATCTACAGCCAGGACATCAGAATATCATTCGGACTTGATAAGTGTGGTCGAATGGTAACAAGGAGAGGGAAGGTAGTCAGAACTGAGGGGATTGTACTACCAGAAGGCAACATAGCAGATGTTCAGGGCAGCTACAAGTACCTTGGGATCCTGCAGGCAACCATGAAGAAGCCACAAGGAAAGCAGCAACTACCAAGTACCTGCAGAGAGTAAGGTAAATCCTGAGAAGTCAGCTGAAAGGAAAGAACAAAGTCCAGGCAATTATTACCTACGCCCTGCTGGTCATCAGGTACCCCGCTGGCATAATAAGCTGGCTAAAGGAGGAGATAGAGGCCACTGACATCAAGACAAGGAAGCTCCTTACAATGCACAGCGGGTTTCACCCCAAGTCCAGCATCCTGAGACTGTACACTAAGCAGAAGGAAGGAGGCCAAGAATTAGTGAGAGTCAGAGCCACTATGAAACAACAAAGATCCATCAGGAAGATGGCCCCAAGTGATGACGTACTTAGTGAATACCTCAGGCAACAGAAACCGAGGAACAAGGGAAAGAAGAGCAGGAACCCTCATGGAAGAACAAACCTCTGCACGGTATATACCACCGTCAAATAGAAGGAGTGGCTGATATCGAAAAATCCTACCAGTGGCTGGACAAACCTGGACTGAAAGACAGCACAGAGACTCTAATCCTGGCAGCACAGGAACAGGCTCTAAGTACAAGCTCAATAGAGGCTGGGGTCTACCATACCAGGCAGGACCCCCGGGGCCGGCTTT